GATGGTACAGAGGGAAAACAAAACAAAACAAAAAAAAGAGCAAAAGACAAACAATCCCAAAACAGCAGTAGCTTGAATGTTTTCATTTGTCGGGAAAACGAGGAAGAGCCTTACCCTTGTTAACATTTAGAGAATCTCCAAAGAAAGATTGAGACGCATATATGTGTGTGGAAGTTCTTGTGTGTAAGAAACACATTGATTCCCATATTGATTCAGTTAATAAAATGAAAGAAATATTCTTCAAACATTGTCTGTGTGGGTTCTTCAACACAATTTCCTAGGCACAAGTATCACTGGTGGGGATCTATTATGACTGCCATGCACTTTGAGAACAAGAGGGGAAGCCAGCCAGAAGTTCCTTTTCTCCCACTAGACTGGAAAAGGGAAAGTACCCTTTGGGAATTTTTCATCACCTTTGATGCTTCCTTTGCTATCATTTTGACCATGTTTGAAATCCATTTCTGTTTTGACAATAATATATTTCTAATTGCTCTTTTAGGAAATGAATTTTCACCTGACCTTCATCTGACCCAGCTTATGGTATTAGGTAGGGTATTAGATACATTCCTATCCAGCAACAGCATCAAAAGTCTTATTAAAGCCACCATATCTACTGCTTCTTTATCCACCTTAAGCCTGTTATCCTGTGTATGATTAGACAGTGGAATTCAGCCACTGCAGTGATTTAGAAAGGAGTTCAAGGGAAAATCTACAAACTAGCTGGCTTACAAACAATCCATATCCGCTAGTTATTGCTAATAAAGGTTACAAGGAATGTGAGACATCTTGTTGAAGAACCCTTACACTGTTATCAGTGGGGGTAGATTCATCCTCCAGAACGTCTTTGTGGTTTTGTTTGTTTTGGGGCTTGTTTTTACCTTCTGAAGCTTATGTGCTTATGTCATCTGGGACAGATACAAAACTGGGCCACCGATCAAGTCTGGGGTAATTCCTTTGTCTCCTGTTTCTCATCATGTGGATTCTTTCATTTCTGACGGGGTTCTTGGAGCATTTCTTGTCCTATCCTGCATTCCAGTGCTGTCAGAATGCATCTCTCTTCCTATGTAATTGAATCAACATAACTAATGAAATGTAATTATCCCCAGTTAAAATGAATGAATTACTATTGCTCTAATTTCACTGTCTTAAATGGAATTAAATGAGACTGTGCTGTAAAGGCAATTTTCTTTTAATGTGTCTCTGTTCTTCAAAAGAGTTGTCAGTTTTTATCTGGCACAACTAGTGTTTGGTGTGTTTCTTACACATTCCTCAGGGCTGGTGTCATAGCAGGGGGATAGTTATGAGGACAGTGAATAGCTTGGCTCCATGGAATACATGGAAATTTCTGCTGGCGTGAGTAAAGAAGAAACACAGGGTGGGAACTTACTCAGTGACTTCAAGAAAGTCAAATAGCTGTGAGAATAGCTAAGGAAATATTAATATCTGTTTTCTCTCAGGTTTTTGGCTGATAGAAGGAAAATGGAGTTGTTTCCATTCGTCTACCCCTCACTCATGGTGCTAATACACCTACCTGATTTAATGACTGATGGAAGGGGCTTTCTGCTCTTCTGCAGAAGAAGAAGTAAATCTTCTTGATTTACACCTGTGCATTCCTGCCCTGTCAGCAGGCGCACTCATCTGGCCACTGTGTCAGTGAGCTAAATTGGTAGGAAAGTAATAATATAAATGGAAGTGTATTGTTTTCTGTGTGTTTAGCCCTCTAAACTGGCTCAGGTTTGGTCAGTTCAACTGAAGAAGTAGAGAAGGATTGCTGGTGGAAGGGAAGGAATGGGGAAAGCCATTTTCACTGGCAGCTGGCTGATAATTAATTAGTCTAATCTCTGTAGTAAAGTGAAGGGCATAACATTCTAAGCTGCATGGATAAATCCTCCTTTCTGCATGTTGTCCCTGCCCTTGTACAGTAGAAGTGCTTTGGAGACAAGGCAATCAGGGCTAAAGCAGGAGAGATTATTTGTAACCTGAATCAGGTTTCCCAATCCAGTGAGCTAAACATCTGAGATAATGCTGGGCTGACAGACTAAAGGGTCAGTGCAGGGTCAGTTTGTGGCCAGAGCTGGCCTCTTTCTTGAAGGGCTTCCTGACCTGTGCTGACTTGTTGGCCTCTAGGAAACAGAGAGGTAACCTCAGGGTGAGTCCTCAGAGCTGGGTGAGTGCTGTATCCTTGAGTGACCAGTGTCTCTTCATTCTCAGCAGCAGTGAAGGGAATGTGGCTTGATGTTTATCAGGTTCAATTTTGCACAGGGACTTTTAGATCTGTAATGGCAACAAACCTTTAAAATATGTGTTATCTCTTATTCTGTTTCATCTTTACCAAGGTAGCATTAGAGTTGGAATGGCAGCCCTAAAATAAGGTTGGTTGACAGTTGTAAAATATTCTAAATAATCACAAAGACCTAACAGTTCTGGATTAAATCATAGCCATACTGGGAATCCTGCTGTTTGTGGTTTGAAGAGCTAACCCAAGGATTTCACAGTATGCAAAAAATTTTAAGGTTTAACTCTGTTTGCTCATGAACAAGTTATTTGTGTGTGGTTTGGTTGTTTAATAGGTTGAAATCTGTTCTTTGTGCACTCATACTCATGGTCAAGTAGACAATTTGTGACTATTTCCTACTGTACAAATGTGAGGTGCTTATTGCATTGTGTCATGCCTCAGTATGTATTCCAAATGGACAGGGTACTGGGGAGATGATAGAAGAATGTCACTGAAATAATAAATGGAAATTCTTACTCCTGAGGATTCTTAACATGCTTAGCAACGTACATGGCTTCTCTTAACTTTCAATGCTCTTGAAGCAAAGGAAATAAATGCTTTGGGCAAACTGCATTCAGTCTAGTCTGAACTCAGTAGTTTTGTCTACTGAGTGGTGGAACAAATCCTGTTTATATTCATTCCCTGGTAATAACTGGTGCCACAGAAGTGTTCTGGGATGTTTTTTAATAACCTTCTTGAGCAGATGCATGGAAGAGAGCAGAGAAGTTTCTTGTGGATCCAGATCAGTGATTCCCTGTGGTAGGATAAAAGCTTGTTTAAAAGACTAGACATGGATGAACTGGGCTTACAGGCCACTTCCGAGAGGGATTTAATACAGTGCACGAGTTCATACCATCAACAGTTGCATTTTGGGCAGTTCTGTGATGTGAGATTGTATAACTGGAAAAATGACTCTGATGTTCATTTGGGAAGGAGCAGCTTTGGGTAGTTTACAATGCTTTTGTTTCATGACCAGTTTTCTTCTTCTTTGCCTTTATGAGGAGGAGAAGTAAAATCACTAGCAGAGGAATTCTACACTGCACAGCAAGAAGAGGAGACCATCAGGTTTGATACGGAAAATCCTGTTAAGGACACACCAAAGGGAACATCCAAACAGTCCATGTTTAGTGAACAGTAAAATAGGTAGAAAGGATCAGACAGTGGTATTATATCCTTGGTTTTTAAATTGAAAGTGCTCTACCAATATGCTACAGCTGTATATTATTCTCCAGGGTAGTTATACAGCCACAGCCTGTGCCTGACCATTCTTTTTTTCACTCAGAGAAGGATCTGTATCAATGTAGTTGCTTTTGTTGCAGCAAGAAATTCCTCTTGAATATCATCTTTCCATGTCTTTTTGCATTTTTCTAGGGCTTTAGAAGATTTTCAGTGAACAGGTGTTGTGTAGTGTGAAAGTGAGTAGATCAGGGCTTTTGGGGGAAGTCAGACCTACAGATTGAATGTTTTTATGCAGGGATTTAAGGTGTGGTAATGGCCCTTATGAGGCCATGCCATATAGATCTGCTCATCTGTAGAAAGAAGCTCTGTGTGCCTCTGCAGGGAAAGCAGGTAGGTTTGGTGTAAGACATTCAGAAGGCCTAGATTCTAAACTGCTGAAAATTTCTGTTATTCTTTGACAGACTGTGTGGTCATAGATTCATAGAACGGTTTGGGTTGGAAGAGACCTTAAGATCATCGAGTTCCAAGTCTCTTCCATGGCAGAGGCACCTGTCTACTATATACCAGATTGATCACAGCCCCATCCAGCCTGACCTTAGACACTTCCAGGGATGTCCACAACTTCTTTGGGCAACGTGTTGCAGTACCTCATCACCCTCACAGTAAAGAATTACCTCCTGATATCTAATCTAAACCTGACTTCTTTTAGCGTGAAGTCATCATCCCCTTGTCCTAACACCACATACCCATGTAAAAAGTCCCTCTCCAACTCTTTTTGTAGACCTCTTTAGGTAGTGGGTTGCTGCTGGATATCTCCCTTGGAGCCTTCTTTTCTCCAAGCCAAACAACCCTACCTCTCTCAGCTTCTCTCAGCATAGGGAAGGTGCTCCAGCCCTCTGATCCTCTTTGTAGACCTCTGGACTCACTCCAGCAGGTTCCTGTTGTTCTGATGGGAGCCCCAGAGCTGCATGCAATAGTCCAGGTGGGGTCTTAGGAGAGTCAAGTAGAGGGGGAGAATCATGTCTCTCAACTCAATGTATGCGTCTCATTTTTTTTTTGTCAGATACCGCCTTTTTCTACGCTTCATTTGACTTGTTTATTTGGATAATATAACTATTAAATTCTCTGTTGTCTGGACAACAGCTTGTTGTTGACAACCTTGATGTTAGCCTGTAAGCATTGCTGTAACATAAGCAGCCAATTCGCAGAGAGAAATAATGGCAAGAAGATGAAAGAAGAGGAAAAGTCCTAAAAAAAATACATGAAAGGCAAGACAGTATTGTCTATGCATGTGTTGGAAAACCAAGATGTCTGTATGTTAGATTAAAAGCTTTCTTATTAATATCTGGAATTTCAAAGGATATTCTGATATAATGCCCAAGGCTTCAGGCTGAGAAAATGGCAATTTTTTTTTTTCCTAAAAGCAGTATCAGTTGATTCTGTAAATAAACATGGGTTCCTTTTGCCACAGTGATATAACTCTTTGTATTTACTTTGCTTTTAAGGAAAAGAGTTTTTAACCCTATAATGATAATAGTGATACATAATGCCTCATCAGGACAAAAAGTTGAAGAGCACAGAAAAAGCAATAAAAAAAAAGCCTCCTGGGATCTCTATGAGGTGTAGTATCTGACGTTTTACTTTGAACTTCAGCAGGGCTTGTGTGGAATTTACACTGGCTGCCAAAGCATAATGCTTCAATTTGAAGTGCAGTATAAACATGACAACTGTTACTCTGGTCACAAAGTTTATTTACACCTTTGTTGATTTAAGACATTCTGGAGAAGTTGTAAATTCTTCTGTATGCAAAAGTGGACACCAGGCAACGCTAGAAAACTTTATTTTCTGTCAGTAGCATTGTTGCTTGTTGACCTTCTTTACACTTATGGAAATACTTTTATGTAACTATTAACACATACTGTTGTGTTTTTTTTCCTAGGGATAATTCTGATCTAAAAAGGCTTCAGTCTCTCTTCAGTGTTCAGTCAAGGAACCAACAGATATTTTTCAATAACTGTTATTAAATGTGCTTTAGAATTATAATTAATTCTAAAGGTGATTATGGTTTTTGGCATATGCTTAGAACATTATGTACTATAGTGGCTAAAACATGTTAGCAAAATCTTGAGGAGAGGATGTCTTGTCTCTTTTCTTGGCAACATTAGACCTGTGTGGCACAAGTCACATTTAGAATGGGTAAAAGCATGAACCGGATCCACTTCCCATTCTATTGTACCATATTTTTTATTTTAACAGGGAAAAAATAGCTTTTTTTTTTTATACTCAGCAGGTTTTATCCAGCTATTGCTGCATATATTAAAGTAGCATAGCAGATTTGTTTTCCTCTATGCCCTTTCACAATGTCACACGAAGGTAGGCTTAAAGATGTGTGAGTAACAGCACGGGGGAGAGTGGTACAGAATATAAAATAAGATCAGCATTTTAGCCATAAACAGTTTGTCTTTGAAGAATAACACTTCAGCTAAAAATACCCTGGGCTTAAATACCAACTTACAGGAGAAAGTCAAATCTTCTTCACCTGAACTTACGTAGTGAAGCTTGTATTTGCCATTTGAAGCAAAGAAAACCAACACATGATTATGGGTGTGAGTCTTTGGAATCACAGAACATTTTCTCCCTTTCAATTCTGTAAAAAGATATGACAAAATGACTAAAGGATTCATCCATGTGAGGTAGGAGTTATGCACTTTCTACGTGGTTAGAGGCCTGGAATTGCTTCTGAGCAGAAAGCTGAAACATGTGAGTTGTACAGCCTAAAAAGAAAGTGAAGGCTGTGCAATTGTGGAATTGGGACAGGTAAGAAACACAGATAATGAGCATGTGTTGCAGATTTTGTCGAGCTTTGCTATCATAAATTTAAAAAGATGCCATTCTTCACCTTTTACTTACCTCTCAGTACTTGTTTTTCAGTCTTGCTTTGCATCAGTTTTCTACCACGTCAGTTTTGTTTTCCAGAGGAGGTGTGTGTATTCTATAATAGCAAGTTTTAGGTCCAAAGTTCAAGTCAGAACTTGAGAAAAGGTACTTTGGTGTGGTAATATTCTCAGAAAACTTAAAATGCAGTGTCTGCCTCATGACTACTATCCCTTCCCTCTTTAGCTTCCAGCTATATCTATTGAAAGTGGTCAAACCAGTGTGACAAGAACTTGGCAAAACGTCAAAAGCAATGAACAGAAGTCCAGTGATCAATGGCAAGCATCAACAGAAGCTGTTGAGCTTGAAAAATTTAGGTAAAAATAATTTAAAGATGATGATGATACTTTTATATCCCTGAACGAGAGGTACCTTTATGTATCTAAGGGTATCACCCTGTTGTTGAAAGGTGTTGAAGGCATTTGTATTTTTACATACATACTTTTCATGTTAATCCAGTATTTGAGATGAGAATTACATACTTGTAATTTTTTACACCTGTTTATGTTCCTAACTTTGTAAGTTTCAGCCTTTCCCACTCAGCAGAGTATACTGGTTAGAGTCAATAAACTCATTTTAAATAGTGATCATTTCTTTATTTCGAAAAGTTATACCATTCTGCTAGTCCCAAATTATGCATGAGACAGACTATTAATGTCTGGCAATCTGAAATCATGTTATTCTGTGGTAACTGCTGGAATGACGTTTCTTAGTTTTTGTTGCTGATGTTAAGTTGTAGTAGTGCAAAACTGTCTTGTGGCAAATTAATTTGCAATTCACCAATTTTCTTTTTTTCTTCCTTATTAGTGTGATCTACAAGAATGAGAGAAATTTTAGCAAGCATCCCAAGCGTTAGCTGTTTCAAGATATCTTTACAACTTTAGTTAAGGACAGACTTACCTGCAGATCAGTATATGAAACACATTCATAACCAAGAAGGAGGGCTACTCTTTCTTGCCTTCCATGAAGAAACAACACACCTTTCTGTGGAAATTACCAGAAGCACTTGTGGTTGTTTTAAATAAAATAAACACAGGACTAGGTATACGACAAAACTTGGATGACCAAAATTCTAACTGCTATGTTTTCTTGATCATTCATCTGTATCTGTCTGTAATCTATGATTTGCTTTTCTAATTTATTTTACTGATTCTATTTATATTTTATAGGCTGCTGCCTTTTTAGTGAAAGGCAAGTGGTTTCCACAAAATTCAGATGAGTTGATGCCACTTGTTTGTGTTTATTTGTATTTTTGTGTATGACAGGATTAGAAAGGGTAATACATTTTCTTATGCTGCTCTCATTTATATGAGGAAAAAGTACAGGACCTTACAAAAATAAAGGGGGCAGAGAAAGATATTTTCAGGGAAAAAAAGATGTATTTTTCTGGATTTTTTTACTATGCTCTTTTGCAGTGTATTGGATTTTCCTTTTTAAAGCCCAAATACATTTTCTGAAAAACTCCTTAAGTGGTACAGAAGTTTAAAGATAGAATCCTAGAGCATTTAAAGGTATTAATATGTAACTACTAGAGGAATCGAAAAACACCATATAGTTTGCTTAGACCTTTATTCAGAACCAATTGGGGAACTAGGGGTGTCTGCTTTGATTATCTAAATGACAGTGAGTTTAAAACAGATTATTTAAGTGATTTTTAAATCTGGTACCTCTTTTTTGCATGTGAACTCAGTACTCACCAGTGGGAGGTCAGTGGCTCAGCTTCATTTGCCAGAAATCCAAGAATAGCTTACACTGTGATTTCCCAAGTTCTGTTTATACATTGTGACATACTTGGCTTTTATTTTGGTTTTCTTTGGTGGTTCTTTGTGATATAGTGATATAGCAAAACAAGCCTTTTGTGTTAAGAATGAAAGCACCCAGGCAAGGGTGGTGAAATAAGCATAAAATAGTAGATAAGCTGCATATACCCTGGTGTGTCTAGTAATGTGTATTGTAAATGTAACTGTAGTAGAAGGGGCTCTCAAATGTTAATCAGGCTCAGGGAATGAGTGTCCACCGTGGTAATATCTTCAGACCACTTTAAAATCTGACCTGCAAATTTTGCACACAGGTATATGGTTGCTGTTTTCTTTCCAGGAAAGTTTTGTGCTGTTCTGAAGTGGCCAATTATGGAATCATAATGAAAACTGGTATTACTTTGGGCAGAATATTGGCGTAAAAGGGCTGAGAGTTTCTTAGTATCTATTTATAAAATATTTATTTTTATGGAAGTATTTTTAGCTATTGGCGTCATTCCCAACTTCAAATGATGAAATGGGAAGAGAACTGCCATGACCCATACACTTTTTCTGTTTCCAAGAAACCTATCCAAACAAATTTTGTCCTCTCAGATAAAACAACAATAAAGAACACATGGCAAAGATGTCTAATTTTAGGTTTATTTTAAATAGGGAAATGGGGATATATACTTTCAACAGGCAATGGAAATAGTGATTCCATTACTGGTATTTTATGCAGGATTACTGCCCCTGGACACTTTCTGCAAATCTGATTTGTATTTTCTACCATGTCTTACGGTATAAATCATATGGAGAAATATAAAGGAGGAAGTTCTATATGGAAATACAATCCTATTTCAAGAACATTTGCACTAAATAACAAATTATTTCCAGCATAACAGAATTAGAGTTTTTAAAAGCCAGGATAGATTATAATAATTCAGAAGAATATTTTAAATATAGCTATTTTTACTTCTGTAGCACATATATTTTTGGATAAGTCTATTTTGTGCACTGAAGTTTGCTCTGTGGTTTCTCATTTACTTTGCTCTTTTGGGCCTCAATTCAACCACTAAAAATTTATATCAAAGCACAGTTAGTTTGTTCTTAGAGGTGAGCATGTACTTTCTCTCATCAGTCCAGTGATAATAAGTGATGTTTGGTAATGCTCATATAATGTAACAAATTCATTTATAGCTGCTACTGTGTTTGAATATAAGTGGTATTATAAATTCTGTGGTATAGTATGTTGAACAGTTGTTGTAGCTCACTAATCATCTAGTCAATTGATCCTGAATCAAACTGTTTTATTTAAGTATTTAAGCACTTCTTAAATTGCATTTGGTTATGTTTTGAATATTTAATTTACAGGCAATGGGTTATGCAAGCTCCGTGCATCCATTTTCTTAGATTTTATTAATCTGCCTGATATTATTAATAAGGGATCCATGCCACCAGGTCAGTATGTCAAAATATTGTTTCTTGCTTGGTAAGGGGTTGCAGGTGCTTGTGTGTAAAAATGTTTGTTCCTATGAATGCACATGTTCATGTATGTATCTGTATTTCTGTATGTGAGGATGGGAGCTGCAAATAAGCAGATTTCAAGAGTGGTTTTACACCATTACTGCATAACTTGCTCAATTTCTGTTATTTCTTATGTCGTGTCTGTTGTTGCTGACCCTTACAAAGAAACTGTAAATCTCCATAACAGATGGCTCGGTCATTGCTCTGAGCCCTAGACTTGGTATTTGACTTTATCATAAAGCTTTGTAAAATTCCCATAATGTAGTTACTGAAGGAAATTGAAAGCTCCAGTTTAAGAATCTTCAACATTTCACCTCTTGTGTTTTTGTTTATCTACTTACTACAAGTAATTCTGAATTCCTTTTTTCCTTTTTTAAAAAAATTTTCCTGTAGGAAATGCTCGACAGTCTGGGTGAAATTGAAAATCTAACTCAGGTAGAATTCCTCACAGTGCCTTTGTCTATTATGTTGCCTGTCAGTTCATTATGATTAGAATGATATGTACTGTAAAAAGCAGTGTACAGATAGTCTTGGTTTATGGAAATAAGTGAGTCTGTTCCTCTGTTTTCTCATGAGCAGTTGGTGTGGGTTTTTTCACTAGTTTTCAAATCAACTGTCCTATAATCTGAATTCATCTAGGATTTGTAGTTAGGAGACTTAAGAAATGCTTCCTGAAATGGGAGAAGAATTAGAAGAGTCAATTTCTTTTGGTACAGTCAAAAGAAACTAGACTTTTGAAGGGAGATGAGCAGATCACCCTGCACTGTAGCTAATGACTTTGCATGGGGAAAAGCATACTGGTAACATATATGGGTTTTTTTAATGTCCAAGCAGGTTTAAACCTTGAGGCTGCACTACTATTGCATTACAGAATATTTTTTTCATGAAACAGATGCACCACCTACAGGCTGTACCTGTGCAGAACAGTCTAGGTTTATGAAATCCTTTTTTCCTAATGGTATACTTTATTTTTCCTTCCCTACTTGTAATATATGGAAACAGTAGCAAATTGTTACCTTAATTACAGAGAAGAGCAGCATAATGTAGACAAGTTGGTCAACATGTAAGTGCAGTAGCTGATAACAGAAATGATAAGGCTACTCACAACTTTTGTGTGAGGCTTAAAATGTTTAAAATACTTCAGGTGGTCATTAAGTAAGATAGTAGTATATTCACTGTAAGCATCATCACATGAGTAAAAGCTAAAATTCCTGTAGAAGGGAGCTGCTTGTTTTTCTACATAAGTAATATTTCTTTAAGAAATTAGTATCTTTTTATGCATTAAAATAAAAGAGTAAATTGAATGAGTTATGGTTCAAAGAACTTATACAGTATTTTCTCTGTTATCTGACTGGTAAAATAAAAATATTAGTGAGAAAGAGTCAATTTGTGTGTCTTGCTTTCTTCCGTAGATATTTTCCAAAAGCTTGCCACTGTTAGAAATCGAAGATAATGAGTTATAGCAAATGGAGCACATAAAGTAAGTGCTTTATAAAATTGTTAATTTTATTTAATCAGATACTTAATAGAACAATGCATGCTTTTCAGATTTGACCTAGATGGGACTAAATTCCTTACCTTGTCAGTCTTCTAAGGTAAGATAATCTCTGTTTTACACATATATTAATAGGATCATAAAAATAAGTTATTCTCTGTAAGTTGTCTAATGTATGATTATTGGCTGTTTGAGATAAACAGATTGTAAACATTTCAACTAAACATTTGTTCTATAAAAAGTAGTGCTCATGTATCCACTGTCCTGAGCTACACGTTACTGTGATTCAAATAGTTTTATATACTTTTAAAATGTAAATGTATTTTAAAGTTTTCTTACACAAATTTCTGATGTGGTTTTTCACTTATAAAGTATTCTGTGTCTAAATATTCTGTGTCAACACAGACATCCTTTGCTGTACATTACCATCAGTCTGAGAATCTGTAATTAACTATTGCTGGTTTGTGGCTAAACTGAGATATAGTTGAGATCAAAATCAGTATAATTAGGGTTTCAGATTCTCTCATGCTGCAGAAGAACAATGGCATTTGTGATCATATGGTATCAGACAATCTATTTTTAGGGAATCTAGACAAATATGGAGTTTGATTGGATATTAATCATGAACAGAAATACAGGCAGGGCCTTAAATTACTGTGCTGTTTAAATATAAGCTGAATATTAACTTTTTACTTCAGGAGGCCTGCTTTGGAGTTCTGAAGTGATACACCAAACCAAATTTTTACAATGGTGTAAAAGAGGTACTTTAGCAGTCAAAGAGATACTAATTGTAGTTTGAGAAGAAATATCCTTGCTTGTCTTACTGGGTGTATTCTAAGATTTTAGGTTTATATTTAAGTGTACTTTAAATGTACCTAATTTTAACATAATGTGTAAGGATTTGGTATTTTAATTTTTACTTTTCAATAAATATTTCTGTATGTTTTTGAGTTCTAAAATAATGTACTTTATATTTTCACAGAATCACACATTTACCTACCTTTTTCTTCTTTTTTTTTTTCCAGACCTGTGTAAATTTGTTATCTGCCAGAGACAGTCGTGTATTTTGATGCCCTCCTTGCTCTGACTAGCTTAGTAGAATGGTAGGTTCAGCTTAATGTGCCATAATTAACAAAAGCTTTTTAATGTTTTCTCTTTACAGAATATTAGAACTGCTCTTTATGAGGAAAACTTAAATGTTCTTAATTTTATATTGAAGCAATAGAAACAAAATAGAGACTTTGGTCCTTGCAGCAGACTTCTTCTTCATGAGGATGCCTCTGCAAGACTGGAATCACAGAATCTGTCTTTGCAATCCTCATGCGGGATTCTGGAATACCTACTGACTTCCTGCATATAAAAATCTTTTGCCTTCAGCTTAATATAACAGTGGCTCACAATAATCAGGTAGACAATTTTTCAGTATAGTAAATAATAAACTCATACAGCCAAATCCATATATATGTGGCCTCTTCTCATTAATTAGTGGTTAAATAAAGATTAAAAGGGAAAAAAAAGGGCAAAAAGGGGGACAGAGCAACTTTCATCTATAATGGTATTATAGAAGAAAAACTGCTGTTATTGATCTGCTGTCTTCCAGGCTTCCAAAACCTCTGTTTTAGTTTAATTTGTTTTTAATATCTGTATTAATTTAAATTATGTTATACATACATTTTCAACTTCCATTTAACTTTCTTCACTGAACGTAATGTAGGATTTTGTGTTACATTTGGACTGGGCAAGAAAGAGTTTGGGGTATATTACAAATGTTCATAGAAATTGTGGTTGTTTTTAGAAATGTACTCCACTTGCTTAATTACCAGTAAAACACAAAATATATTTGTGTCTTTATTTTTATGCATTCACATTTACTTTTTTTTTTACTGGGAAAACTGGAAAATTGTTACACTGTTACTCTTGACCCAGCATGTATTTGTGTCTTTATGTGCTTGTGTGCACAATTTGATATTATTACTTAAGACTTGGAGAAAAATAATTAATCAAATGTACAAAGAAGGAGGCTAAAGAGCAATGTATGTTTTTCATATATAATATAATTTCATTGATATAAATACCAGGAATAATCAATTTGTAGTCCAGAATGTAGGGAGGAGATAAGTGAGATTGTTGAGAACTTGCTGGTGATATTACATGAATATGATTTTCTCTCTAACAGGTGAGACTTTTTATGTGGATTAACTGTGTTAAAATAAATTTTGACTTTTTTATTTAGGGATGCATGTATTTAGAGGAATTAGAAAATGTGCCACTTGAATATACCCAAAGTCAAATTCTGATACCTGTGTATTTTCAGTCACATACTGATATAGCAAATTCTTTTCCCCAGTTTCATTGTAATCCATCTCTCTCTCCACTGATGGCCCCCAGTACAAATGAGTTGCAATGTTATCATAAAGTGATAGCAATCACTTTTCTTGGTGCATCTCTTCGTTGCTCCTGGCAGACCTGAGTACTTAGATGGGAAAACATGCTGAGCCCTGACAGTTCCTGGGATACCCAATATAAACTAGTAAAATTGCAAGCCCTAGAGCTGCTGTAGTTTATGCCAGAGGCTGAGTCAGATCCCACATCCTCTTCATCAGAAAATCATCAATGATCCTTCAGTTGTTTAATCATCTCAGCTAAGACTGCTAGCAAAGCATTACTGAATTTCAGTGAGAAACAGAAAAACTTTCAAATTTGATAATATATCACTTATCACCTTTAAAATTTTGAAGAGGTTTTTAAAATTTCTTGCTTAACTATTTCATGCATATAAGTGACCTTTTATGTGAGTAAGAATAGAGAAAATTAATCTATGAAAAGGTTTTATTTAGTTTCTGGGTTTGAAAATTCTGGGTTATATGTAAATCAAAAGTTAGATGTAATAGTTAGAGTTTGAATGTAGACAGGAAGATGATGAAGTTCAATGCTAGTTAAGGATAATTTTAAATTAATATATGAATCTGAATTCACATGTTTCATTAAATACACATGGAGCTTTTTTGCTTAAAGTGGAAATGGATATCCTTAACTACATTTCCTATGGGAAGTCCACCTTCTTTGCAGTTAATTAAAATCTTATATAAACCTTTGAAGGCATGTATCCAATCACTTTCTACATACATTATTTAAACTATACTAGAGAAGAATGATGCATTTTTGTGTTATCTGTGGAACTAGGCTATTTGAGTTCCACAAATAGACTTTACAAGTTCATGTAGTCAGTGCTACTTGTACTACTAATGCCATTAATAAGAAGATGGTAGCACAGATGATGCAGCCCACCTGGCCACCTCCCATCCTGTCTGGGTGTGCCTGGTTGACTTTAACCACCAGCCTGCAGTGACATTAAGTTCTTTTCTTTAACTTCTATTTAAAAAAAAATCTGTTATTTTTTTAATATCCTGTGGGGATTTTTTCCCTTTTCTAGATGACAATACAAAGTAATGATGGAGTTATTGTTGAAATATCTTGTTGATTTACAGCAGAATTGCTCTGACTCCTTTGTGCAGAGTCACAAGTCAAAGAGCAAATAAAAATGTATGAAGGAGTTCCAGTCTTGCTCAGTTTGCTCCGTTCCAATCACATCAAACTTCTATAGAGTATAGTTTGGATTCTGGTACAGGTTTGTGAAGACCCTGAGACTAGTGTGGAAATTTGGATCTGGGGTAGAATCAAGCAGCTCCTTCATATGTTACAGGAGTAGGTTTTCAGTCCTCAACATTGTGGCAATTGCACAAGACTGTTATTTTAAGATGTATTGACTAAGCCCTGTTTTATCAAATAGCATCTTTGGCTTGTTCAGCTGTATGTGATGCCAGCAAAATTTAAAAGACTATTTAGAACATAATGAATAAACAGTATTTTCCCCAGCCTTTTGTATTTCTTTGTTATCCTAAGGCGGTTTTCATATTTTTAGTGTATAAACTAAATAATGAATAAGTCATAAATATGGCATTATTGTCTGTTTAATTTTCCTATTAATCAGACACCTATTTAGTTAGCTAGAATTGTGAATACAATTTATGAACATGGTAAAGGAATTTTCTATTTAAAGGCTTGTTTACTTTTTCAAAGTATATTAGCTGATTTAGTGAAAACATACAAATTTTCAGAACTTCAGGAATGGTTAACAAAGACATATTAAGCCATTTTTAACACTGCAACTTGATTTTTTTTCTTTCTTTTTCTTTCAGGGAAAGAAGTCTTGTAGCCAACCCTTGTATCAAACTCTTCAGTTGGAAGTTTATCTACTGCAAGTGCGGCAGGAAGAATCCAGTATCTTCATTTGTCACATGAGCCAAGTCCTTATGAGATACAAGAAAATATTTTCTCACTTCAAGCAAGTAGGTTTATAAGGTCTAATACTCTGTTATGTCTTTACATACACTTGTGCAAAAGGATTCGAAATATTACAAATTTGTAATACTTACACCTGCTTTAGGGAGCAGGAGAATCAAATTGGATTTGTTTATTTCCAAATGAGTGATACCAGCACTTATTTTCAAAAAGTATGCTTTTGTTAGAAGAAAGCAAAGCATAAAGTATTAAGAATCTGGGAATCAAATGTATTTCTTCACCTGTAAAAACAGTGACAAAAAAGTGACTTATTTACTTAGTTAGTTTTGTGTTTAGCACGAAATTATTTTTATTTGATCATAATTTTCTTCACTATTTAAATTTTCTGTGATAGATCAATATGAATCATATGATTTCAAAGTGGTATTTTAGTGACTTCTAGTCAGGTGAGGATTCATTTGTAGTTATGGAGCAAATTCCATTTGGAGATTTCACAATAGAGTCAAATGGGCCTAAATGTTACTTCTGAATTTTATTCTAGCTTGTTGTGCTGCAATTACTGACTGGTGCTCTATGAGATTAATGCTTACGAGGTTGTACAGGTAGGAAGATTTTATTCAATTAAGGAAGGCATTATAGTTTATAATTTAACTTAATTCTTCTTTGTTATCATAATTTAAAAGATTGGAAATATGCCTGTCTATAACTTTAGTACTTCTGTTTCTTTATCATTTTACACACAGAGACATAGACACAAAGGTTATCAACATAGGTGTCTGGAAGAATAAACAGCTTTATGCAGACAAGGTTCATTCTGGCATCTCTTACCATGCTTTTTTCATATTCAAAATAGGATAGTAAATAAAAGTTATCACAGAATAAACTGAGAAATACAAATTCTGAATTTCTTTATGTTTATTACAAAAAACTATGCAGCTGAAAATTGACTTGTGGCTGTTTCACAAACTATTTCTCTTTTTGTAAGAGTGTGGTATTTCTGAGAGAACTTCCTGGCATTCTATCTCCAGGGATAAACCATTCTTAAAATCCCTAGTTGTATTCCAGACCTAGTTAAAGATATAAATATTAAGGGCATTAGTATCAGCTAAAAGCTGTAGCCAGCTGTTAAACTCTAAATGTTAAATCAAAGCCTTCAAGTTAGCTTAAAACCCAACCAGAGGTATTCTTCAAAGGTATTCCTGGAGGAACCAACAGAACAAGACCTTCAATATCAATAGGAAAGAAGTTTGTGTATATATCAAAACCATTAGTTAAGAGAAAAGAAATGAAAGTAAATGTAGAAGGAAAATATTTTTATTATTTTTGAGCACTAAAATTGCCAATAAACTGTACTGATTTAGTCAACTTTTATCTAAACAATATAATGATATATTTTAGGCTGAGTCTGATTTAAATGAAATAAAATATTACTTGTTTAAATTAAATGGCTTTAATAGAGAGGTTTTATGCCCCAGCAGTTCATAACTGTTGTGTCAGTAAATTGCTTAAAAATTGATGGTACATTGTGCAGAGCTGGAAAAGGTGTTTCCAACTTGACAATTTCTGCTCATCTCCATTTGTTTGAACACCAGCCAACATCCCCATTTCAATCAGGGCATAGCCTCAAGCATGTTCATTTCAACTGGAGTTCCACCCTACAATAGCACTGCAGTAATTTTAAATCCTGCCTCTTTCTTTTTGCTAATATAACTTTGAGAGTTGCATAGTGAGCAAGGTGAAGCAGCTCACTTGGGTTAAAAACAGAGGAAAAATGTGTGCAGCTTTTTAGTTATGTGCCAAGGAGGTCAATCTACGTAACCTGTAAAAGTTCATATAATTGTGTCAAAGGATTCTTGGAACTTGTGCTTCTGCTGTAGCTGCTCTCTACCTGTCTGTCTGTCCTCTGTCGTTGTCACAGCCTTGGCAACAGTCTGCAGTAATTCTGGTAGCAGACAATGTGTTTGACTCAATGGCCCCACTGCACAGCCCAAAACCTGAACTTAACCATAGTCTAAGCTTAATTCTACCTTCTTGAACAGTAGAAGAAAACATCAGGAACTGCAGAAAAGCCTCTGCAGAGCTGACACATAATCCCTTCAAGTCTGCTAAAGAGGAGAGTAGTGTCCATCAGTGACCTTGTCAAGTAACTGGGAGCAGTACTCCAACTAAATCTACCAGTGCCCATCTATCAGACCTACAAAGTGGATAGAATAGTGGAGGATACATGGTTGCATGAAAATGGAAGCTGAATTCATTATGGTTTCCACAAAATTCTGGAGTATTGGACAGACTTCTCAGGCTATCTCTTTTGGTGTTTCTCCAATTTATTTTTATTAAGACTTGAATTTTGTTTGTGACAATTCAAAATATGGTACAACATGGTGACAGGAGATCTATTGCTGGAATTTTCTTCACTTGGAGAGATAGAAGCATTTCTTCTTTATTTGTTCACAGGCTCTCTTTGTGGTATCAATTTAAATGTAATAATGATTTAATTCTTATACACGTTTAAGCTTATATTTTAGGTGTGCAGTAGGATGTTGAGAACTTGTCCATTGCTATTAGCTTCTGATTTATCTGAACATTAATTTTTATTTGTGGTTTGCAGGCAAAGGGGCACTATTAATGCTGACCTTTTTCTGTTTCCAGGCAAATGCAATATATAAAATGGCAAATCTAATTTTATAAAACAAAGAAAGGAATGCTGAAAAAGCCAGTTTATTACAGGTAACTCCCTTTATTATCATTGTGCAATGAAAGCCCCCACAGTCCCTGAGAATTTTTTATGAATTAAAGCTTATTTTGAAGTACAGTAGAAAAAAAATAAATCATATTTAAAGGGGAATCCCCTACTCCAAAATAACAAATAGCCCAGGAACTGAAAGTTAAATAGAGACTCAATTTCTGTTCTGATTTACTTTGTTTCTGGCACCTCATATAGTGTAAAGGAAAGTCAATATTCTTCTTGTGATAATCATTCCTCTACTTTTTCAGGGTGTCTAGCATCAGATCTTCTTTACAGAGCCTTGATCTTCATTGAAACTCACCCTAGACTTGATACTCTACTAATATCTGTTTATTTCTGGAGCATTTTTCTGTGGAAATAAAATACATGAAGGCAGTATATAAAATAGAGAAAATTTAAATGTAGAATAAATATAGGCCAAATGAGCATAGAATGGCCCTTGGTTTTGCATGTCAATTATCCCCATAAATGTGCTGGTTAGAGTCAACTTAGGCTAAAGGTCATCAGTAGTAATTAATTACCTGGTAGCTTTTCTCAGGCTCTGTGCAATGGTGTCTCTCTAAGATATGGGAATGTAGTGCCTGGGGGTTCAGGGATTGTGAATTCTCTGTGCTTTCTACCTTTATTGGGATTGAAAACACTTCAGACAGTATTTCATGTTGGGACTCATGTGTTTATTATTTCTTATCAGTGTAACAGCCTCACAGCCATGAGTTCTGCAATCTTTCATTAGTAAAGCACAAAATGGCTAACTATCTCTTGTTCCAAGGTCTTTTAAGACTAAACTATGAAATTAAGAAGTGACACCTACATTATTTTCCCTTTCAACCCAATAACTGATCCCTTGAAGCCTGCAATGCAGACTTTTCTGTCCAATTACAAAATACCATCCAAACCCATGAAGAAGGAGGAAGAAGATAAAGAAGAACAACCTGCCTCTGCCCTAAAACCTCCATCTTGCTTATATTTATTACTATATTCTAAACCCCCAAACTTTAAGTTTTCCACCCTGTCATATTACACACTTCTAACCAACTACACACCCATAATCCCAGTGCTATTAATCAATTTTGGAAGTCTTCTCCACAGCCTCAGGTCAAATGGAGTGCTCTCTTATGAGTCTGTGCCTTTCAACAGAAAGTTTAAAATTCTCAGCATCCAGGATTCCAACAAGGATGAGCACAGCTGCTGCTGCTCTAGTTGGCATAGTCCTTAGCACAGCTGAATGCATTCATGATCCTGCCTCTCACGTGGTCTTTGTTCTGACAGAGCCCCTAAAATGTGTATATAGCTACTTCACTGTCTAATTAGGTAGGTGTGCTTGGATAGCAAAGAAAGGCATTTCCACAAAAAAAATCCCAAAAAACAAACAAAAATAATTCTACTGTCATCTTTATCATCACAGTTCTTCTGGATTAGAATTGGAGAGCAGATTCAGTACAGTAGACACCTTTCTACTGCAAGGAGATTTTATAGTGCACTTCATCTTAAGGATGAGATAAATACAAACCTTCTGGTGAGTAGATATATGAAACTAACATGCAGTCTAACCAACTGGAGTGTATGCTCAGTATAGTTGCCTCACACAACTGTAAGGAGCTTAATTTATGCCCACTGAGAATTTTAGATTCCAGCAGAATGTGTTGGAAATAACTCACAAGAGCTACTAAGCAGTTGTAGTTGGGTTGAACATGAAGCTGTGTGAATTAATAATGGACTTAATGATCACATATGAAAACTAAGTCTGTTTTGGACAAGAAGTTTATGAAACCTTGTGCTGCTCATACTGCTACCTGCGTTGCCTTTGAAAATGTTACTGGTATGAAATAGAGTTGCAAATATTGGAATATCCTTTTTGAGTTTCACAGATATTTTTCTTAGAATATTTGCTGGTGTGGTTTCTCTTCTTCCCCATTGTGTGTGTTTTCAATGATGAAATTTTCATCTTCTTTCTGACCTCAGTGATCTTAATTCAGGACTGTCTTTGATTGCTCAGCCATAAATGTGCCATATCATTGAGTCTTGACAAATAGAGCTAAAGATGAGTTGTATCAAAGCTGTTTTAAATAACTTTCTTTGCATTGGAACTAAGGTATATGAAGAAGCTGAGGTACATAAAGTTGTCTGTAAATGTGACAAATTTAGGGTCAAAAAATTGAGTAATCTCTTCTGCCCGTCTTACTTACAGTATCCCACACTGCATTTTTCAGAAAATTGCTTTTTTACTGCAAGAGTACAAACCCACTTTTTATATTTACCTTTCTCAGCATTGGAGAAGAAAGCAGGTCTCAAAACTTAAGCTATCTGTAGATGAAAAGAGATGATCAAAATTTAGGTATGCCTCAACATGTGCTGTAGCTATCATCACCACTTCTTTTTTTTCCCCCTTATTTTTCCCCCTAAATGTCCTTGCACACTTTTAAAATACAGGAGGAACTTAATATATTTTTATTCCCTTTGTTATCAGGTTAATAAGATAATCTGTCATTTAAATACAAAATTTGACTGTGTGTAAGGTATCAAGGGGAATCCTTGTTGTTTATCAGTGGCTTTTCCACATCTGTCTTAAATCTCTCATTAATTGAAGTGCTTTTCCTACTATAGTATTATGTTTTCAGAGCCCTGAGATTTCTCTTCAGTATTGAAAGAAATTGACATATTTTTGAAAGGTGTGTTAACCATATGTTTTGTGAAACTCTTTTAAGATAGCTTTCAAAAGTCCAATCAGAAAGAAATATTTTCTAACTGTAATTTATTTTGTAATGGTCAATTTTTGTCATGTCCAAAACTACAGATAGTCATTCCTGCATTGCAGGCAGTCTACAAGATCAGGTGTTTACTATTGAGACTCCTGTTGTGTGCATGCCAGACAACCTAGCTCTGTGTGGGCTCCTTCTAACCCCCACTGAATATATCTTTTATATATGTTGAGGACAGATTTAACAGTGCTGGCAATAAAACATACATTTACCTTGAAGATTAGCATGTGCAATTAACTGGAAGCAGTTTAAATTTTTTCTCTGAGCCCTCTACTCTTTCGCCATGGGTCTGACTTTGCATCAAGCTGTTTTACTTAGGAGTGTTACTAAAACTTTTGGATCAATAAGAACAAAATATTTTCTATCAATTTCTCATTTTTACTAGTACGATGACTATTTCACCACATTGGTTACAAAGGCTGTGTGAAATCTTACAGTGTGATTTGTGGCATTAGAATAGTAATCAGAGTGTCTAGGAGGTCTTCCTGCCAGTACTGTTTCTGTATGTTTTTATTATGTATCATAAATTACTAAAATTCTTTATATGACTTCTGTATTATTTTTAAAAAGTGGATATTGTACTGAAAGTGCCTCCATTTATAATGAATTTTCATGTTTGGTGACAATTTTTTGAAAAATCTGGACTAATTTACTGTTTTTTGATTTTTCCAAATGCCAAATCTTTTGCATTTCTACTTATTCTATAAGTTTAAAAAAGAAACAAAACTTCAGTCAAGCATCTAACTAATCAATAGTTGCCTCTTATCTGTTGGCTTTTGCTTTTCTCAGTCATTTTCATCTTCTAGACTAGGATTCTTGGCCAAAAATTCTAAGATGGATGTCATGATTCTTTAAATGCAGACAAATCTTAATCCTATCACTTAGTGCATTACAAGAAGAAACAAGCATAAAAGAAAGTAATGTAAGACAAAAAGTAATATTACTGCAAATTCAGAAGGTGCATTGACTTTAAAGACTTATACTTTATGTTAATACCCAGCCAAAGGGGGCTGAAGTCTGACTTTTAAAAGGAGCTTTAACTCCTATGTATGCAGTGTTAGAGGCTTAATATCTTACTACATTAGTGAAAAATAGGTGTACTATTTAGGAGGTTCTGAAGTAAGTTTTAATAATAAACACTGAAAATTCTCTGCTGTAGATTAATAGCTCCTGTGTACATTGTTTCTCAAAGATACAAAAAAATTTGCACCTTTCTAGTATTTTCTTACTGGCTTCTTTGAAATCCTCATTGATAGTGGACATCATGTGTGTGATACCAGAGCTTATGAAGGATTGGTATCAAAGCTAAATTTGTTAAAGGCAAGTAAAAACCTTAAACCTTTGTAGTTTTAAGAAGTCGTATTCATGCACACTCTTAGCACAGGAAAGGCATAAAATATTTCGAATTTATTTGTTATTTAATTTATGACTAGGAGGATATATTGAAGCAAATCACTGAAAGTATTGAGAACGTGAATAAGGCACCCACAAAACGTGTAGGAAATTATGCAATTTTAGAGTACTTTGGCAGTGGAGCTTTTGGAAGTGTATATAAGATGAACTTTTATTTTGCTATTATTTTACAGATTTGAGGGGAAGCTTCATGAAGAGTGTCTAATACCTGTTCTAGACACAACTGTCCTTTGAATTTCAGTTGGGAAATGTAGGTACAAAAAGGCCTTTGTGAATCTGAGCTTGTTGTTAGTGTTTGCTCTGGTGTTGTTTGTTCCATGTTGTACTTTTACAATTGACCAGTGTATCTCTTAGGTTTCCTACCTTATTTTCTCTTTATTCCTTTCCACTAACGGCATTTGTCTAGTGCAAAGGCTAATAAATCTGTGTAAAACCACAAAAATTTAAGCATTTTTCATCTGAAAAGCCACACTGGGCACAGATAATATTGCTTCAAGCACTGTGCAAATTCAGAAGTGTACTGCAACCTGTACTGTTGGATTGTAGTTCTTCTACTAATTACATTATACACAGAAAAAGCAATGATTATATATTCTGTGAGAAAGGTTTGGACTCTGATAAGTAATCTGGTAGCCATAATACCATTCTTCCTATCCCCATCCTCTGTTTATTGTACAAAGGTTTAACCTTGTTTATGGGTTAGAAAACATAATGGACAACATCTCCTGGCAACGAAAGAAGTCAATTTACACAATCCAGCATTTGGAAAGGACAAAAAAGACAGAGATAGCAGTGTAAAAAATATTGTCTCTGAATTAACCATTATCAAAGAGCAGGTGTTTCTCATGGGCTCTAGTTTGATATGAATTACTAACTGTGAGTTCTCATGTGGGAAGCTGCCTGGTGGAAAAGGACCTGGGGATGCTGGTGGGCAGCTGCCTGAACATGAGCCAGCAGTATGCCCAAGAAGGCCAAAGACATCCTGGCCTGTATCAGCAATGGTGTGTCCAGCAGAACCAGGACAGTGATTGTCACCCTGTGCTTGGCACTGCTGAGGCAACCTTGGATCTTGTGTTTAGTTCTGAGCCTCTCACACAAGAGGGGCATTGAGGTGTTTGAGCTGGTCCGGAGAAGGGGAATGGACCTGGTGGAGGTTCTGCAGCACAAGTCCTGTGAGGAGTGGTTGAGGGATCTGGGAGTGTTTAGCCAGGAATAGTACCCTGTTTTCTTCCTAATTACTCTAGTGGTGCGCAACATTTCTCTGCATTTGGGGTAACAGGGAAGGAAGGTGCACTGGAGTTCCTAGACAAGTTTGTGGAATCTTTGTAACATCCTTCCTACATGTAGCTAAACATTTTAACTACTGTGCCATCAGTTTAACTATTCTAAGCATCTACATTTCTTTCCTCGTTGTAACTTTATCATCCAAATGTTGTACAGTATTACACAACCTTCTTGGAAAGTGAGTGTAAATGCATAGAATTACCACATTGTACATAATGAAGAAATAAAAATATGCAATAAAACCATTTACAGGTTAGTAGGAGTGTGTCAAATTTGAGTAATAATAATTCTTCTGAGCTGCTACAAATTCAAACTGGCCTATATTCCTTTAAAATTGAAAAAAAAAAAAAGATAAATAGTATTTGTATTTGTTTATCTGTCAGTAAAACTAGATGCAATATAAACATGTAGCAAGCATCATTATTCTCCTCTAAAGATCCAAAATGCACAATTGAAATGCTAAATAGGGAGAAAGGCTATGGTGAGTAGTAGAGTGAATGATACAGATTGCCAGCCATATTTATGTTTATTATGTTTTAATTTTCTTTTCAATACAGAGTTACCTACAAACACCTGCCTGCTGAGTGATTAGCAGGCAGTAGTTTCCTTATAGTTCTGTGACATAAACTGAGGAAAAACTTAAACAAAAAAGAGTAGAACTAGATTAATCTGTATCTATCTGTACAAATACAATTTTTAAAGACTAAAAGAGAACAGCTTTTAAAATACACTTTTTACCTCAAATACTCTATTTTAAAATTATTTCTGTATAAATACAATATTCTATTAATTTTTTTAATGAGATGACAGATTGTATATAGTGATGGAGCTCATGAAGGGGGTGCCAGTGGGAGAATACTTTCACTCTTTGAAGGAAAAGCAACAACAAAAACAGGGTTCCAGTGGAGTCTCACCAGAGGGATGCAGAGGGGCAGAATCCCCTTCTTCACCCTGCTGCTCACACTGCATTGGATGCAGCCCAGGACACGTTTGGCTTTCTGTGCTGTGAGTGCCCATGGCTGGGTCATGTCCTCTCACCCACCAGCACCCCCGAGTCCTTCTCTCCTGGGCTGCTCTCCATCTGTTCATTCCCAGCCTGTACTGATACCAGGGGCTATCCTGACCCAGCTGCAGCACCTTGTTATTGGTTTTGTTAAACTGAGTGAGATTGCCATGGGCCCATTTCTTGAGCTTGTCCTGGTCTCTCTGGATGCCATCCCATCCTCCAGGTGTGCCAGCTGCACCACTCAGCTTGGTGTCATCTGCAATTTATTTAGACTGATCCCTCCATCTATGTCATTAATGTATATATTAAATAACACTGATCCCAGTATGGACCCCTGAGGGACACTACCTGTCACTGGTGTCCATTGGGACTTTGAGCCATTGATCACTACCGTCTGAATGCAACCATCCAATCAAATTCTTATCCATTTAGCAGTCTACTTATTAATTACTCTTTTGGGGAACCATGCCAAAGGCTTTTCAGAACTCTTGATGAATGACATTTGTTGTCCTTCCATTGTCTACTGATGTAGTCACTCCTTCACAGAAGGTCACTATGGGTAGGAAGGACTTGCCCTTGTTGAAGCTATGCTGACCATCTCAAATCCTGTTCTATGTCAGCCTTAGCATAGTTTCTACGAGGATCTGTTCCATGACCTTCCCAGGCACAGAAGTAAAATAATTGCTAATGCAAATTTTGTGTTATCAGCCATGGCTATATTTTTTGCAGCTGTGGATGGTAAATATGATGGAGATGATTTAGCCTTAAAATATTTAAACTATAGTTATGCTTCAAGGCCTGTTTTTATTTAAATTAGCAAGAATATTGAAATAACCAGATTACAGAACAAGTGGTAATGAACATACAAAGTATAACAGCTGTCTATTCTATTCCAATTCTGCCATGAAATTGGTTAGCATCCTTCAGTTATTCCCGGATCAGCTGCAGTGAGGTGCTATTTGTATAAGTCTGTAGTAGTGAATATTCTTGATGTATGCTTCTGTAATCAGCACAGTGTGGAGGAAGGAACCTAGGCAGTTTCCAGGACAGACTTTGAAAGCAATATGTGTGTGTGAGCAGTACAAAGCATGGCGTAGTTTTAGTGTTTGAGCAAATTAATAGAGCCTGGTACACAGAGCAAGCCTTCCAGGCCATTCAGATCCTGCAGTTTTTGAAGTTTTTGAAGAACTACTGCGTGTTTTCTTGTTGCTCATGACACAGAAGGAAACAAACAATTTGAATGCTGCAGAATTGTTGTAAGAAGTCTTTATGCAAAACTCAACCTCTCTTCTTTAAATATAACAGTAAACTGTAGACACACATGCACACCCATCCACAAAATGCTCAGCTATAAATATTTAACAACTGTTGTTTCATAGTAAATATTTTTACCTCATGATATACATATCTAAATTTATTCATTATGAAAGTTTATGTGCTAAGCCCCCTCAGACTCTTAGTAATGATGCAGTTTTGAAAGAATGTGATTTAATGGTGCAATTGTCCTTGAGTGACGAAAAGAAATATTCCAAATATTATTTTAAAGTATCATATAATTGTATTTTGTATCAACTATTGCCACTGAGGGGCACTCTTGTCTCAACAACCTTTTGTTATCTTTAGTCCATTCTAAATATGGAGAAGTCTAAATGTGCTTTCAAGTATAAGCTCAAAATTGCCCTTGAAAAGCATTTATATTTCTGTCAAAGATTTACAGTAGTTCAGGAAAATTGGAAGAACAGAAACTTATTTGGAACATTTCTACAGCAATTAGTTCAAAACTATTACAGTATTTAAACAAACACTCACTTTATTTAGTCCTACAGCTAGTACATGTATAGTACCTATTGAATTTTTGGGGACAGATGAAGAATTTTTATCTATTGTTTCTGAATTTTATTTTTTTACAACCTTAATGAAATTGAGATGAATTTACTTTCTTTCTGATGATAATTAATATGTACTTTATAGATGCATGCTGTGTTATCGTTCCTAACTCATGGAGTCCATGTATGCCAAAGACTGGAGCAATCTTAATGATTATGTCTCACAATAGTTGAGGATAAATGTACTGTCCATTTAGTACATTTCAAGTGTTCTTGGTGAAAGTTTGTCCTGATTTCTGTTGGAATAGAGTTAATTCTCTTTCTTGTAGCTGGTACAGTGCTGTGTTTTGGATTTAGTGCGGCAGTAATGTTGATAACACATGGAGATTTTAGTTGTTTCTGAGGACTGTATACTCTAAATCAAAGACTGTTCAGTTTTCCATGCTCTGCCAGTGATGAGCTGCACAACAAGCTGGGAATAGGGAGTACATCCAGAATGGCTGACTTGAGCTAGCCCAAGGGATATTCTATACCATGGAATGCCAACCCCAGTATATAAATTGGGGCAAGATGGCCAGGACTTGCCAGCAGGCAAGATGGCCTGCTCATGGAATGGCTGGGCACCTTTCAGCAGGTGGTAAGCAACTCCAGTGAGCATAATTTGTTTTTCTTGAGTTTTATTCTGCCCCACATGATTTTAATTACAATTGCTATTAATAATAGCAATTATATATATATATATATATATATATATTTTTTTTTTTTATATTATATAACTTATAACAGATTAATACTGAAATATTATAATATTTTATTTTGTTTCAGTCATCAAACTGTTTTTTACATTGATCCATGAATTTTATTTCCTTTTTTTTTGAGATTCTCCTTCCTGGTGGGGAAGGTGAGAAATTGAGTGCATGGTGCTTGGTTGCTGGCTGGGGTTAAACCATGACAAAGTTACAACAAAATGTCAGAAGCATATGCTAAAATGCTGAGAAATCTCTGAAATGAATTTATTCTGTCAGCTTTTTAAAAATAGAAGGTCTGCTCTAAGATCTACTAAAAACTATACTTCTGCATTTACAAGCTGCACACTCATCCTGAATAGAGAGAATTCAATTTTCTGGAGTCTTTCAAATCTGAAAACTGACCCAAACTTGTCTTGATCTAACTAGAGTAGTGGACTACCTGTGAAGCAGTGTTGTGTGACTGTGTAAGTGGGATATGGCTGAAATTATTTTACTTTATAAATGGATCTTATAATACTGCTCTATTTTCTCTTTCTCAATCAGTCCTTCTGGAAATAGTAACACTTGTTAATCTCTTGTTATGAGAATCTGCAGGCTGGCAGTATAACAAAGGCAGATAACTCGTCTGTAACTAATGTTCTTAAAAAATATTGTATTTAGAGAGGTGCCTTAGTTTCAGACTCTTATGGTGTATTTTTAATTAAAAAAACCTAGGGAAATGATCAATATACTGGAGAAGGACCTTTTGGAGATTCAGACTTTAATTCTGCAACAGCTACACCAATGAACTGCTTTAAGAAAATTCTAGGACTCACAGATAGGCATTTTGTGCCTTGTATATGAGAATGGGACCACTCACATTCCCAAACCCTTGAAGATCTCTTACACACTTTCTGCTTTTATGTCATTTGAAAAGGATAGGAGTGCACAGAGTGGGAGACACTCCCACCTTGCTGTCACAGTGGAAAACACTAAACCTGCTAAAGAATTATGTTTATTTGTCCTGAATTCATGGAGAAACATTCCACAGGTGGCCCTTGTAGAACAATTCCAGCAGAACTTGGTAGGCAGGGACCTATGGTGAAAGAAAACAAGAATTCATACAAAGAAATCTGCAGCTGGCCTGGCACAATGCAAGATTAAGTTTGAGAGACCTCTTCTAGGGATGGTCTCTGAATACCATGTGTATAGATCTTATTGAAAAAGAAATACCTGAGATAATACCTCATGCTGTGGTGAGACCTTACCTGAAGTACTGTGTCCAGCTCTTGGGTCCTCAGCACAAGAAGGACCTGTTGGAGTCAATCCAGAGGAAGGTTATGAAGAGGATTGTGATGGTTTTGCATGGGAGATCTGAAATTGGTGAACCAAAACCACTACACAGATTAGAGGAGTGGAGCACCTCTCCTATGGGGAAAGATTGAAAAGTTGGGATTGTTCAGCCTGGAGAAGAAAAAGCTCTGGGGAGACCTTAGTGCACCTTTCTGAACATAAATAGGACCATAAGAGAGTGGGAGAAGGACCTTTTACAAGGGCTTGAAGTGGCAGAACAAGGGGGTATGGCTTCAAACTGAAAGAGAGTAGACTTAGATTAAATATGAGGAAGAAATTCTTTACTGGTGCGAGGGGGGTGGTGGTGAGGCTCTGGAATCAAAGAAGTTCTGGATGCCTTGTTCCTAGAAGTATTCAAGGTCAAGTTAGTTGGGTCTCTGAGCAGCCTGGTGTAGTGAAAGGTGTCCTTGCCCATAGCAGGGAGTTTGAAACTTGATAATCTTAACATCCCTTCCTACCCAAGACATTCTACGATAATATTCTGAAGAATTTTTGAATATTCATAGCCACACTATGTTTTGCTTTTCTTAAGTAATGTATGTGGTTAGATACTTTCTTTATTCAGAATTTTCTTTATTGTTTTGTTTTTAAACTTATGCAAGACAGAAATGAAAGTTCTAAGCCCAGGAGGTGCTTCATTTTAATGTGAAAATTGTATAACTTTTTCGTATTTCCCAGGACATCTTTTAGACATGTCAATTAAGTTTGAATTATCCTAATCTTTTCAGGGTCTTTAAAGTTGTGTGTTGTTGCAAATGTAAACAGACATTTACAATCTGATCCTAGCCGGGCTGTTTCTGACTATAGAGAGCTTTAAGCATGTTGTTGTTTTGTAGTCTCTAGAACTGCCCACCCTACTCATTTGCTGTTTAATTTTTGACATAAATTCCATAGGAAGGGGTCCATAACTACCATCTTCCATGCTTGTACAGCATTTAATCATAATTAATTGAACTACCAATGCCATGAAAATATAAATATTAAGTCATGCCAA